TTGATGAGCAGATTGAATGAAAAAGAAGGCAGAAAGGGACTTAATAAACTGAAGTGATCAACAAATGTGAGAACACACTAAAGATAAACATCCAAAAGTACGTAATCCCCATATTTGGGGGTTCTGGATATAATATAATTTAGACAGATGTGATGTGTGATTAAAACTGAAAGCTTTAGATGAAATTAATGCAAAAGACAAAAGGTATAGATAGAGAGAGCAGTTGATCATTTACCCATAAGTCTGCCCACTGAAAACCAAAATACAGTGGAAATGACTTGGTGAGAATGAGCACTTAGCTTTTATTTCTTTTCTTCAAGATTCAGCTAAAAGCTTCCCTTAGGTTTACCTTCGGGAAACTGATCCACAGCAGGTGCTCCTAAAATATTTGAAGGGGTGAAGAGGGTGCTCATCTCCTGCAGGTTCTCAGTAAAAGTGGTGCTGGGCGACAGCACAATTTCTCATTTCTAGAATTCAGTGTCAGGAAGTGGAATATGGTGGGGCCTGTCACCTGGGTGGTGACTCTACTCAATGATGATTTAATGTAGCAAAGACTCATTGTCTCCTCGTGTTGGAAGGAAACAAGGTGAGCATTTCATCCTAATAGCTAAAGAAAAATGATTTGCTCTTTGACACCCTAAACAGAGGGCCATCTGCAAGTTATTGGGAATGCACAAGACGGCCAGCTCATCCTAATTTTGGACAGAATTAATCGTTAGAATCTGCTATGTAATATTAAGCCACATCTTTCCCTTGTAAGTCCTGGTCTGACCTTTGGGAGCGACACAGACCCAGCTCCTGTTTCTAGCATCAAGTATTACCAATAGCTCTTTAGGGCCTTCTGCGATCTCCAAGATGACTTCTGTTCCAAAACTCAACACCCCCCACATAAAAAGTGTTCTTTTCTTGAAAGTGCTTTACAAACATCCTTGAACATAAACATCCTTTGCATTCTGGTCTGTGAATACGTTTCCACAAATGGAAACTGCCGGGTCAAATTGGACATTTTACAGCTTTTGTTCTATCGTTTCAGATCACCCTCCAGAAAAGGTGATTTTGTGTATATGCCCCCCAGGGGTTTATAAGAGAACTACTTCCCTACACCCTACTATCTGCCACCACCAAACATGGGGTGGGGGGCGGGTTTCACTTTGAATAGTTGCCAGTCTGATAGGAGAAATGATTATCTCTTGGTTGCTTTAATTTGCATGTCTTTGATTACCAGTGAGGTTGGACATTTTCCAACCACATCCTACCCATTTGCAGTCAAGATTTGGCGCTAACTGCAGGACCTTACATGTATCCCAGTTAAATTTTATCTTGTAGGGTTCCACCAGTCATTCCTTCCTGTTGAGATCATTTGGATCCTGATTCTGTAATTCCAACGTGTTGGCCTCCCCTCCCAGTCTTGTGCTATTAGCCCAGTTGATAAGCAGTTATCTTTGGCTTTATCCAAGTTGTTGATAGAGTTTAGGGCCAAGGACAGAACTGTTCGGCATGCCGCTAGGGAACACCTCAGGAGGACCCTGAGCATCTGCTGTTGACACTGCACCTCACCGTGAGCAGGAGCCATGGGCGGTGGGAGGACCCATCGCTGGGGCACAGGGCCAGGCACAGATTCCAGCCTTGACACTAATTAGCTGTGTGACCTTGAGCCAGTGGCATCCCCTTAAATGGAGCTGTGCCACATGATTATCTAATGTCCCTTCAAACTAGCAACCTTTTTGTCCCTATTTTGTCCATAACAATTTCGTGAGAAGCTGTCAAATTCCTGTTAAAAGTCAACGCCATCCTGGTGTAGCACACACCCGATTTATTAATCTAGTGAAAGACACTGCTTCATTAACTAATAGTGACCCTTATGATCACCTCTTCTAAATCCTGGTCAACCATTCATTCAACTGTCTGCTCCAGAGTTTTGCCCATGATCAAAACGAAGTCCATTGGCTTTCAGTTTATCCAATTCACGATTTGTAAACATGTAGGGCATTTGTCTCAGTTCTCCATGGTTCCTCAACATACCCTGAGGCATGGGAAGTGCTCGGTGCCCCCTGCCAAGGCTTGTCCCTCCTGCCACCCTGGTCTGGTTTCCTTTCACGTCATGAAGGAGCAAGTCACTGGATTGCCTTCTGCCCTCCCAGCAGGGGCAGAGGGCCCAGGGTGTTGGAAGAAGGGTTAATAAATAGCAGCAACAGTGCTGTTGGGCAGTTACGTCCAGGGAGGTCGCTCCCTGCGCACTAGATGAAACCTTAACCTGGATGGGGAGGGTTCTTGATTCTGATAGAGAAAGAATTCTCAACAAGGTAGGAATTCATTAAAATGAGAGGAGAAGCAGATGCCAGAAGCCTGCAGGTAGCAGAGAGCAAGGAAGAACAGAGGAAGGAGAGGGAAGGCCCCTGAACTCCTGTTCAGTACAGGGCAGATCCCTTGCCAGCTCCCAAAGCCAAAGTCACCTGGCACCCAGTGTCCACTTGAATCTGCACAGCACAGAACTAAGCCCCTACCACCCCAAGATTTGGGGGAGCCACAGAGCACTGCATAGAGCAAGATTATGTTCAGAGAACTTCCAAAAACAAAGAAAGGAGATCTTCAGGCAGGCTACTAAAGAGCATGATCGCCAGCTGCAGTCTTGTCCGGGTCACCCAGGCGATGGGAATTTGCAGGCCCAAATCAGAGCTCTCAGCAGCCCTTCTTCCCTTGTCTGAAGTAGAACACAGAGAGAGAGAGAGAGAGAGAGAGAGAGAGAGAGAGAAGACTAATGCTTAAGTCTAGAAAATTGAATGAAATAGCAAAATAACAAAGACATTTACCACTGAAAGAGAGCAGAGACAAAATGCAGTAAGTTGAGTGGTGAGAAGGCTTTATTTAAGGCAAGGTACACACTCAAGAAAGGGAAGTGTGGGCAGCCTCAGAGAAGAGGTGCATTTAAAGCTTAGGATTCGTGTCTTTTAAGGATTTCAAGACTGGGGCAAAGGGCCGGCAGGGGTGCGTAGGCTGGACATGTGGTCTCCCTATGTCTATCTCTGGTGAGACATTATGTCACCACCCATAGTCAGTCCTCTAGATATTCTGTAAGATAAACGTAACACAGAGAATTTCTTGATCCTGTTCTTCTCCAAGATAGTGGTGACCCTCAAGCCGCAGAAACATACCACTAAGACTGCTTGCTCTGCCTTAAGATAGGGTTGATTGTTGATGCTAATCACCACAAAGTATGTTAGGAATCTTACCTCCTAACTCCCCGGTTTTTAAAATGGAACCTTAGCCTTAAGATGGAGTCCCTCCCGTTCTTACTACAGTACTTATTTCTTGGCGCTTTTCACCATAGGCAGGGAAAAGTAACCATGATGCTTGTCCCGTGGCCCTGCTCTATCTACTTCAACAGCAGCAGAGGGAAACAGGTTGAATGGCTTTGACTGAGGGGAAAGGGGGTCTTTGTGAGAGACAGATGCCAGCTGCTGCCAGTTAGCTGAAAAAACAGCGCCCATGGAATGTGTGGGGGACCCCAGCTTATTCAGCTCTAGGCATGATGAAGAAAATAAGCATCAACAGAATCGTCTTCAAGTGGAATGATGACCTCATTAGGCACCTACCTATCTTTGAGTTATTTCAGTATCAAAGATCAGACAAGACTATTCTAAGGCAGGAACAGTAAACATCAACCCCACGTGACTGATACACTAAAAGAGAAATGAGGTGACTGATGTAAGTGACATAGTGTATCAGTCAGAACTCTGGCCACCTGGCTTCTTAACACCAATGCCTGGAATGCAGTGTTGATTGACACCTGGTATATGTTATTACCAAACTGCGTACAAATGCGTTCTGCATTGTCTGTATTGCCCATTAGGCCTCATGCTAACAGCAGCCATGGTAATAAAGGCTGATACTCAGCTGCCCTGTGGGCCAGGCACTGTTCCAAGTGCTTCATATGAATTAGCCCCCCATCCTCTCAGCGGTCCTGCAGGGCAGGTGCTGTTCTCCGCTTTTTACAGATGATGAGGCAGAGGCCCAGAGGAGTTTAAGGAGTTGCCCGAGGTCACCTGGCTTTTAAGGGGCTAAAGCTGGGCTTGGGACTCAGGCAGTCAGGCTCCACAAGGCAGGCTCTGCAGCCTCCATGAGGAAACCAGGATAAGGAAAAAACAGCTATTGGAAAGTACTTTTCCCAAATCGATGAAACTGCTTTGCAAACGGGTCTCAGCCACTGCGGAGTAACAGCCAACTCTCTCACTCCTGAGCAAACTGCATGAAAGGAAAGGAGGAGTAGGTGGACGTGGGAAGTCAAGGGCATGAACCCCTGTAACTTGGTTGCACAGCCTCTGTGTGATCCGGAGTGGACAGCGTCAACTGACAGTGAGTGTGACCACGGGGTAGAACAGGTGAACATCAGGTCCCCAGGTCATAGCCACGCCCATATCATGAGAAAGGACCTGCTCAACAGCCCCCGTCTTCCAATAACAGGATTACAAGGCCGGGTGCGGTAAGTGCTGACACGCTCGATGGACCACAGACCCGGCCAGGACTGGGCGCCAACCGACGGATTCCTGATACTGTCTTCCAGTTGCCAGACTGTGCTGCTTTCCAGTACATTATTTGGAATATAAAAGCTAAAATGTAAGAAAAGCATTTTAATACAAATAATTTCAACCACAACATGGCAATTGGCTTCCGATGAAGTTGGCAGGAAAAGGTAATGAACTCATTCCGATTGACATATTTACAGATTCTCCTGCCAAATCCAACTGGCAGCTTCATAATTATGGAAACGTCCGTGTTATTTCCACTCAACCAGGGTTCGGCCTGCTGGTATCTGATTCAGTGTTTACTTCATGAATGAGGTCAGTTCCCAGCACAGCTGGGGTTTTAGCAAAGGAATCAGAGCTGCTGGTCAGCAGACAGCATTCCCACTAGAATCTGACCAGAGTTGTCGGCGTTGCCAGGACGATGTTCTCACAGTTTACCCAGGCTCCCCACTCTCTCTGGCACTTTCTGGGGCCTGGCTCTCCTCACCGCCCTGCCAACGCTCCCCTGTGGGAGCCCAGGAGCCGCAGCTGGCGCACGGCGGGCCTGCGCCCAGGTTCCCACGGCACACTGCTTTGCTCTCCTCCCTGCACCCTTGCTATCGTGACATCTCACCCCTTAGGAGCTTCAGGACTGCCAGGAAACAGGGTAGGTGGTTTGTTTGTTTTTTAATCATTTATTCCAGGATGGCTGCACTTGTGTAGTGAGGGGTGACTCAGAATGCCTTGGAAGCCACCTCCAAAGGTAACTGTCCCACAGGCCAGAATGTCCCTTAGGCCAGCTCCCCACACTGGTGAAAACAAAAAACAAAAGCTCACAAGAGCTCAAAACACTCATGTTAAGCACACACGTTTATGGAATGATGTTCTCTTAAGTTTATGGAGGTTATTGGGAAAACTGCTGAGAGCAGAAAGGAAAGGTGACCATCGTCAGCGACAAGCCCCGCTCCAGAGGACATCAGAGCAGCAAGGGCCTTAAGGGCCGGGACTGTTCACCTAAGCGCCTCGCCGCTGCAGTGATAAAGCATGTGGTCCAGGTCCGAAGTGCCCCTCTCAGCTTGGGAGCCATTTCTTTATCTTAGCACATAAGATCGTAGGAAGCTTGGAAACCGCGCTTTGGTTTGGACCCCAGAATGACTGTGAGCACTGTCTGCTGGAACAGTTTTGTCTAACAAAACCTAGGAGGAAAAATCTGGAGTAGGAGATGGTTTAGGCCCGATGCAAAGGCAGATTGTCAGGAAGCTTCTTCCCCGTCCACATGGAGGATGCAGAGCATAAGCCAAGGGCCACATTATCACTCCTAATGGAACAGTGGGGCCAGAGTCTGCAGAGGAGGACGCAGCACAGGGACAACAGGCAGGGACCTGTGCCCAGCTGTAAGGAGGTGAGCTCTCTCTTCCCCTGGCTTCCGCAGGAGCCGCTGTAGGATAAAGACTCCACTCTCTCTTATCTAAAGCAGGGGACCAGCAGCCACGGGAGATGTCAGAGCATCTCTGCCGCTTGAGGGTCCAAAGAGCCTGACGGGGTGCAGTTCAGACCAGTTCTCTTGCACACCTTCCTCAGGAGCACAGCCTCTCTCAGATCCAGGATGCTCTCTGTCTCCCCATTGCCATTACTCACAGAGACACCCGGCACCTGCCATCAGCCCTGTCGCCTGTTGTATCCGTCACTGTCACAGTCATGTCAGCTTACAATCTAAATGGTCTTTTCCCTTGAACGTGCTTCTGGAAGTTTGTGAAGATGGGGCCCACAACACAGTTTATTCCTTCACCCTTTCTGGCCTCAGGGCCTGTGCTCTCTGCCCACTTGGCCATCACCACGCTGGCCACTCTGCTGATGCTTGAATGCACTGCACCCACATCCACCTCAGGGCCTTGGCACGGGCTGGTTCCTCTGCCTGGAACACTTTCTGTCCTCCCCACGGCTCCCTCTCTCCCTTTGGGTCCTTGCCCACATGGCTGCTAATCAGCGAGGCCTTCCCCTGGCTCTTTCCCATGGGTCCCCCTCACAAGTGATTACGCCCGAGCTCTTACCGCTACCTGAACCAGCCCACGTTCCTCATCGTGTTCCTTCCCGGCCTCACATTGGAACACCAGCTGCACGTGGGCAAGGAGTATCTTACTCTTGTGTGTACTGTCACCGCCTGGCACGAGCCCAGCGCTGCACTCAGTATTTATCAGGTGCTCACCACACAGCCAGAGGAGTCTAGGTGCTGGATATTTTTGCAAAGATTTCTGTAGCAATTGAGGAATTCTAAGTAAAGTCTTGAAGCTGAGGGGAGCTGCATGTGCCCTGCTTCCTTGGAGAATCAAGGAGCTGGACTAATGCTCTGTCTCTCTCCCTCCTCCTTGCTACCCTTTTGCTTCTGTATATTCTGCTTTCCCAGTAGACATAGGAAAGTGGGGTCATTCTAGAGGGGAGACAGAGCCTTCTCTGATTTAGGGACTCAGGTGTTTGCTCCACGGGGGCTAGCTGGTCCTGCGTTTGTATGAGTGCCCAGGAGGAAATACATCTGAGATGCTGTCATCCTCCCCTGCTTGGAACAGAGCAGTTTGACTGGCAGAGCTGTGGGCGAGGCAGCCCAGGCAGGCAGCAGGTACCCAGGCCTTCCAGGGGGAGCTGGAAAGCTGATGCCCAAGCCACAGGAAACAGGACAGCCGCCTGCTGCCAACAGCCTGACTGGAAAGTGTGGGTAAGGGCCACCTGGAGGAAGCAGGCCCTGCAGCGCCTCCTCCTCCTGGCAACCCCAGGAGTTTACTTCTGTCGGGCACTCCCTGCACCCACCGCAGGGACAGGCCCTTCCCACTCTCTCACCCGCAGTTTTATAATTTGAAAGCTCCCTTGTCACGCCCAACAAATCAGAACTTCTCTCCTTTCACCTTGTCTGAAAAGCTTTTCGTGGGATTGGGAGTGACCCCCAAAAGTAACTTCTCTGTTCCTGAATGAAGGGGAAATATTTCCAGGTCAGAGGGAGCAGTCTGCTGTGCCAGCACCAGGCACCTGGGAACACTGGGTTATGCCCCCCAAGCCCAGTCCCCCAAACGTGGGCCGGCCACAGGTTCAGAAGCGAACCACGGGCAGAGCAAAGAAATTGCAAATCAAGAGGTTTATTATTTTCCCCCATGAAGTGTTTTGAAACCCAAGTTTCCACATTTTTAAGGGTTTGATGTCATAAAATTCCCATGTACAATTGCATTTTGAAAAAGAGTCATTGTGTGTGTGTTGGAATGTGAGAGGTTGAGCATATAACTTAGAAACTAAACTGCTAAGCTCTGAATTGGAGGTGCACAGACAGACTGGGCCACTGCACTGTAGCACTGGCTACAGTGAATTCATGCGACATTGAGACTGTCCCGGAACTGTCTAGAAGTTAAACGTTAGTCTTCTGAAAAGAATGGGAACCTCCAAGCACCAGCTGCTATTATTCCAAGTGCAATGTAAGCAGGTTTCTATTTAAAACGTTCACACCTGGTACTTGGATATTTCTTGTTTTCCAAAGGGTGCCTTCTTCCCCTCAGATTCTTTTCCACCTTCCCTTTTCTGTGTTAGTCTGTTTAACCCAACCAGCTAGCATGCAGGAAAAGGCTACTGTAAAAGCCGGTTACAGCAGAAGCTTGGGGGGGCGTTGGGGTGCTCTTCAGCCTTTGCGGCTGACACCGGACTCAGATGGAGACAGGACAGTCACAGGAGCCGCAGTTGGGGCTGAGGGGTGGAGGGGGCCCAGGAGACAGGGGAGAAGGAGTGTTTCCCTGTGGCAAAGGCAGAAAGACTCTCAATACCATGTGCCTCCCACACCGCTCTGGAAGGCCCTTGGATGTCCCTGGGTCCCATGGCGCCTAATCTAAATAAACTCCACATCTGTCAGTATCAGTTGCTGAGACGGGGAGGAGACTCAAATGAGCACATAGTTCTTATTATGGTCTAAATCCAAACTCTTTCTTGCCTTAATTATGGAGTGGAAAGCAGTGAGGCTCAGATACTCCAGGATGGGAGACTGAACACTGTGGATTTTGTTCCTCTATTTATTTCCCTGATTATGTAGAACTTCTCACCTCTGATCTCCAGAGGGGCCTCCCTGCCGCCTCCTTCCTCCTCTTCCTTCTGGGCACAGCCAGTGTCGAGTGGCAGGAGCAGCTCCCCGTGACACTGGCAGGGACAGAAGTGTGCTGGCACGGGGCCCGTGCTCATCAGCCTTGAACAAGGCATCACTTGTGTGTAGAAGCTTTTCGAGGCGGTTTCACAGATACAGGGACGTTGGACAGAGAGGAACAGAGAAATTCCAGAGATTTTTCACGTGCAAGCAGATATTTCCTTTGAGAGTTCCTAGACTAAATAATACTCCTTGTGTCTAAGGGACGGTGTGTACTGCTGGCCTGGCAATGTTCTGGGCGTGCAGGGTGAGCGCAGGGAGCCTATGGCGGCCTGGAGGGAGACGTAAGCAGAGAAACATGAAGTTGCCCGAGCAAGTGTCTTCACTGGAAGAACATGGGTGTTGTTCCGCCTCTGCCTGACGCGATGACCATTTCAAATATGGGGGAAGAATTTGTTGGCCAAACCTTTGGAATGAAATAGGCTGGACTTCTAAGAATCAATATACTGGACTTCTAAGAATCACTAGGCCTCTCTACTAACTATTTTCATAGATACATATTTAATAGACTTTAGTTTTGAAAGCAAAATCCACCCAAAGTCCACACTTCACAGAGGGGTTCACTCTGAGTGCAGCACATTTATGAATTTTGATACATGTGTGACTCCATGAGTCCGCCCTTATAGCATCACACAGGGTGACTTCATTGCCCCCAAATCCCCTGTGCTCCCCGTTGTCCATCCCTCCCTCCAGCCCCTAGCAACCACTGATTCATTTACTGTCCCCATAACTCTGCCCATTCTAGAATGTCACATAGTTGGGACAGTCATTTCAGATTGGCTTCTTTGCCTTATTAATATGCATTTAAGTTTCCTCCATGTCTTTGTCAGGTGTGATAACTCATTTTTTCTTAGTGCTACGTAATATCCCATTGTCTGAATGTAGCCATTTTCATATATATGTAAGATGCAAGTAATATAATTCATAGCTAGTATAGTAAAATATATGATAAGGTAAAAGCAGTATTTGGCTTAATTAGAATCAGCCCTGTTATTATCCTGTTTTAATAAGTAAACTGAAGCTCAGAGAGGCTCTGACTTACATACACATGGCAGATAAGTCAGTGGGGGGAGATCCATAAAAGGAGCAGAAGAGTCTAGAATCCCAGCCATTTGCTCTATCACAGATCAGAGCATAATGCACTGGCTTAGGTTTGTAATGTTCTAAGTTCATATATATGGGGAGGGGGTGGACAGTTTTGCTCAGCTCCTCATGTTGCCACGCAAAGGCAGTTCTTTAGAGTAACACTCCTTGCTTCTCTCCCTCCCCGTTAACACGGGCTCCTCTCACCCAGTCCTCTCCCAAGCAGGAGGAGCCCCCTTCCCAGTTGGGCAGATGGGGAGGAGCCCGGCATGCTCAGACTATTCTCTCTCCTTTCCGGGATCATCCTGGCTGCGAAGAGCGCGCTGGGCAGCTGGGCAGCTGTCAGTCAGACAGGACAGGGCAGCTCACAGGATTCAGGAGTACAGCATCAGTGAGCCCACTTGCCCACAGATCGA